CCTGTACGAGGAACCATTTCGGGCCGACGCGACGGTAACAAATGGCTCCACTAATCTATCACTTCTTAGGGAAATGACTAGCCGGCGGAGAAGAGAGGAAAAGAGGAGGGGAGAAAGAGTAGAGAGGAGAATGAGGAGAGGAAAAGAGGGGGGAAGAGAATAGAGAAGTGAGGATGAGAATAAGGAGAGGAAAAGAGAGAAAAAGATGGGAAGAGAACGAGAAGAGAGGAAAAGTGAGGAAAAGAACAAGGAGAGGCAGAAACTGTGAAGAGAGGGAAGATGGGTGGAGAAAAAGAGGAAAGGAGAAGTGAGGAAGAGAATGCAAAGAGAGGAAAGAGTAGAGAGGAGGGAAAGAGAACGTGAATGGAGGAGGTGAGGAAGTGAATTGAAGAAAAGAAGAGAATGAGAAGAGAGGAAAAGAAGAAAATAATGAAGAGAGAGAGAGAGTAGAGAATAAAGAGAGAGGAAAAGAGGGAAAGAGAATGAGAAGGGAGTGGAAGAGAACAGGAGAGGAGACAAGGGGAGGAGAACGAGAACAGACGAGTAGGAGAGAATCAAGAGAGAGAGAAGAAGAATAGAGCATTAGAGAAGAGATGAGAAGCGAACGAGAAGAAAGGACAAGAAATGAAGAAAACGAAAAGTGAGTTGTAAGAAAAAAATGAAAGACTGAGACTGAGAAAGTATTAAAGAGGAAGATGAAGGAAAGATCGAAATGCTAAATCACTTGAAAGGAGCATAAAAGTGGAATTTAAGATGCATTCAGCGAAATTATCACCCAGGGTTAAAAAATGAGGCTAAAGAAGGGGGTGAGGGAGATAAGGAGGAAGAGGGGAGAGGGGAAGAAGAGGGAGATAGGAGACAGGAAGAGGAAGAGGAGGAGGAAGTGAGGAAGAAGATGAAGAGGAAGATTTTTGACAAAGAGGAAGAGAGAGATATGACGGTAAAAAAGAGGCGAATAAGAGAGAACTATGAAGAAAATAAAGATAAAATGAAGAGGGAAATATGACAGGGAGCGACGAAGGAGGGAAATAAGTAAGGGAGGTTGGGTGAAAGGGGAGAAGAAGAGGAATCCTACGAATGGCGAAAAGAGAGGACGAAAATAATTCCTATTTGGGGGTCTGGTAAGGCCCACCCACTCGTTAGTGTCTGGATTTGGTTATTTTCTATTTCTATGGATGTCATTTATCATATGACCTGATTGCAGCTGGTACCTCCAATATCTAAGCTAGCCTAGATGGGGCAGTGGGTCCAGTTTGGAGTTGGTCAATTTCATTTCTCTAGGATGTCATTTACCATATAAACCTGATTGCAGCTGGTACCTCCAATACCTAGGCTAGCCTAGATGAGCCCCAGGGGTCGGGGGTCCATATTTGGGTGTGTCTGGTGCCGATAGTCCTAAACATGTTCATTTGGCATTAATTTTGACCAGTGCCTTGTTCATCTATGCTAGCCTAATTTTAAATCACTTTTGGGGGGTCTGGCAGGCCCTTCGTCCCCCAAAAAGGTCTGTCGTTTGTACTGTTGATGGAGATTTGATGATAAATAAACATTAAATGTGATTTCAAGTGGTACCTCTGTCACCTATGTCAGACCCATATTTTCGCCCCTTATGGGGGTTCCCATCCCTACCCCCACCAAGGGATTCCCCGCAGACTTACATTTTTGAACAACCCATGTAACCCACAAAGCAACCATATGCTCGGACATTAGTATTTAGTTCGTCTAACCCTATGTCGCTGGACTGCCGGTCTAATAATGAAAAGGAAAAAGATCGTGATTATTAGGTCCTTCACATTTTTACGCATAGCACATGTATTTTCAGTCCGATTTTAACGTATTACGGCTAATTTTGTAGCTGAATAATCTATTACATGATGCAATAAGGATTTGCAATATTTTCATGTGCTTATAAAAGTTAGATATATTTTTAGTATCCCTTTTTAGGGTGTCGAGATAGTGGGCTTCGCAAAATATTCATAAAAAAAGTAAGGTTGACTTCTAAAAAATAGTTCTATTCAGATATGAAATCAGAATGTATATATATATATATATATATATATATATATATATATATATATATATATATTTTTTTTTTTTTTTTTTTTTTTTTTTTTTTTTTTTTTTTTTTTTTTTTGAGACATTTTTTTAAAACGGACAATGTAGGCCTATAGACCCCATAGATCACTGTCACCTCTCTAAACTATAAGTAAGATTTTGAGAAACCGTTACGTGCTGGCAATGTCCGGGGACGACTTCGGAATGCAAGTATCGTACAGCCATACTGATTTCATGTCTGAATAGAACTATCCTTCTACTATAATATGCAGAAGCCATTTTTGAAAAGTCAACCTTCCTTTTTTTGGTGAATATTTTCCGGTTACAGTTAAAACACCCTAACAGGAGATTTTGAAAATATATGTTACTTTCATAAGAAGCACACGAGAATATTGCAAATCCTTATGGCAGCATGTAATAGAACTATTATTCAACTACAAAATGA